TATTTTCGTGAGTTTGTGTGTGTGTGATAGTGTGTTTCCGCTGCGTGTACCCGGTCCGGTTCCTAACAGCAATGTTCTAAGATTTACATTCCCCAAATAGATTTTCTAGGAGATGCTCCAAAAATCAGATTTACATTCCATTAAATAGAATTGGTATAAAACTGATATCAAAATTAAATGTAAATTTGATTTTCAGATTTCATTGGACTCCGTGCTCACTCTTTAATAGTTAGACCACATTATGCACTTGGTCCATATTGATAAACAATTTAAGATAAAGCCTTCTAAGCATAAATAACTTTCATGCTTTCCCTATATGGGACAAGCAAATTCCAACACATTACATAAATCGTCATAAACACCAACACATCCAACTTTAAATCATCGACGTTATTTGGTTTTCTCACTTATTCTCTCTCTTTTTTTACCCGTTTTCTAACTGTATAGTTTGTAGTATCGTTTCTCTAAGAACAATGGATGATGTCGTGGGTTTTCTTTGTTTTCTTCCGATTTTCTCACTGACAAGACTACATAGTATCAATGGACAACGGTTGGTCCACATTTTTATTATTTTACATGCTATATAGTGTAGGACCCTTTATGTAAATTTTGTAATTATTTATAGAAGCTATTGCAATGCAAACCCTAATGGAGTTTTTCCACAATATCACACATGGTATTGAACTTGATCGTGTGAGGTGCCTGTAAATCACCACAACAACCCTAGTAATTCCGTTTCACATTTATTTTTTTTATCACGGTCGTGATTCACTCTCGATGTCCTCTTCTCCACACCAACGCTATCGAAGTCCTCAACATACAAAGATCACAATCCGCTATCCAAAATATTGCTCTCAGACGAGTCTAACATTTATCAAACATTTGGCATACGTCTTAAAAATAGCAAACCCTGAAAATAAGGAAAGTCCATATGCACTTCAATGAAAACAAGAAGCTCTTATACCATTTGATTGTAATCCTCTAATGGATCCAAAAGATTACCTTAACAATCCAAATATATCTCTGACATATAACAATAGCCTCGTCCCATAAAAACATGTATAAACCCAAGGTTCTAAAAAGCGTGATGTATGGTGTGACATCAATGTTACGTCTCAAACTTTAAGAGTCATGGCTAGATCATGGCGTTTTCCAAGACCTGATGTAAGGTGAAAAATTGTATTAATTTATAACTATATTATCATATAAATATAAATTTATATCAACTATATGAAGTTTTTAGAAGTGTTTAATAGTAAAATCTTAACATAAAATCAATGGTTGTATGCCGGATCAGAAAATGCATAACAAAGAACAAAAAAAACATGTTTTGAAAGAAAAACTCGCCCCATAACACGTTTTACCATGTGTCACGCCTCATGAAACTTTTCGAAACGACAGAGTAACACCTCACGCCTTGGTGCATGTCACAACGCTCCTTTTAGAACCCTAATAAAACCCTAGGAGAACGGTTACTCGGTTAGGAATATGAAATGCATTGCATAGAAGTAAAAGGAGAAAATTGTAATTACTAGTTCACAGATCCCATAAAAAACAAATTATAGAATATTTCCATTCGTAATATTTCCTTTCGTTTACGGCAGCCGCACATTCGGGTCGGTTGTCTTTGAAATTACATAAAATATCTTTAAAAAAATGAAATATAACATAAAAAACAAAATAAATAATAGATATCGGAAATCAAGAAACTGATGCAGCAATCGTTGCCTTTTACTCATAATTGAGCCACGTTTTTACTCGTGAGGCTGCAACAGCAAAAAGGAAACCCTCGATAGAAGCTACTGGTCGTCATGATGATGATGATGATGAAGTTTCTGATTAATGTTGTTTTACTTTAATATGAATTTGTTCTTTTCAAATCTCAAATTTGAAACGGGAGTATTGATTTGAGATCAAGGGGGAAGAAAGGGGTTAGGGTTTGTCAATCGAGTTCAGAGAGAAGTGCTGGAGATGACGGAGGTTATGCTCCATATATATGATGTGACGAATAGTGGCTCGGATAATACTAACAACACTATTGTTCAGATCAACAAGATCTTCAAAGACGGCATCGGTCTCGGCGGCATTTTCCACAGCGCCGTTCAGGTCTCTCTCTCTCTCTCTCTCTCTCTCTCTCTGTAGTTAAGTAAATCTCGACACGATCTAGGGTTCCAATTTATGCTCTTGTTGTTAAACTTTGGTTTGATGTCATTTATCGATGTTTGCTTGTATGACTTTTAGGTATGTAGATTCATTTGTTTTTCTAGGTTTATCAAATCAGAGAGTTGATAAATCACTGTAGTAATGTGTAGTAATTTTGGAAGTTTATCGTTGCCATAGATCTAATTCCAGTTGCATGGAGGAATATTGAACTTACAACTTAGTTATCACTTGACCGAACTGCTACAAGGGATGTCCCCCTGAAACTCCACACCATGTCAGATGAAGCAACTTAAAGATGCCGCTTTTGACAATCATTCTTCATGCAGAATGCCAGTATCTGGTTTTGTTGTCCACATAAGTTGTTCCTTCCATTCAACAACGAGTTTTAAACACTAACATCTGTCAATCTTAATGAAATATGTGATTGCAAGTGGCATAGCTGATTCGCTTAGGTCATTTTACACATATAATTGCTCTTTTTGTGGAGTATTTGAGTATATGCTAGGTTTGTAGAATCAGTCAGTGGAAACATCAAGTATTGGTTGATGAATATGTTATATTCTGGTCCAAGTGCTAACTTTTAGAATGTTTGATTTTTTCTTGCTTGTTAAAGAAAACATGATCAAGTGTGGTTGGTTGTTCTAGACTTCATACATTCTGATAAAAAGTAGGAACCGTTACATGTTTCTTGAAACTTAGGCACCAAAGGCTGTTATCTTGTGCTTATATTTAATTTCTTTTGAACAACAGGTTTATGGAGAAGACGAATGGTCATTTGGGTTCTGTGAACAAGGAACTGGAGTTTTTAGTTGCCCTGTTAGAAAGAACCCAATGTACACATATCGTGAATGCATTGTTCTTGGAAAAACAAACTTATCCAAATTTAAAGTCAACCAGATCCTGAGAGAACTTAGCCGAGAGTGGCCTGGAAACTGTTATGACTTGCTGTCAAAAAACTGCAATCACTTCTGCAACGAGTTTTGTGAAAGACTCGGTGTCCCTAAACTTCCAGGTTACCCTACACTCACTTCCCTTTGTAATTTTTCAATATTTTTAGGGGCAGTATATACATAAAAGCCACTATATATATTTTGTCCCCTGTAAGTCAACACCATTAACCAAAATAATATAAAGTGATATAAACCACAAAAAGGGTGTATGAGATGATTTAGTATTTATAGAGTGGTATTTTACAGGTTGGGTTAACAGGTTTGCTAATGCGGGTGACACAGCTGTAGAAATAGCGGAAACCACAGCTGTTCGGGTGAGCATTACTTTACTGTTTGTTTGAGTTGTTATTAATAAATTTTATAATTGAATTTGGTTTTATTATTTGAAATGAAAAATACAGTTCAGACAAGCTAAAACAGAGATAGTGACAGCTAGCAAAGTGGCATATCGGTTTCTTGCTGGAATCACTTCAAATAATAATAATAATGCTCTGGATTCCCCTGGGAATAGAAACAACAACAACAACAGCCCTAGATTTCAACAACCTTCCTGGTTTAAAAACCTTGTGGCTGCTGGAGCAAAACCATCAACCAGTACTACAACTACACTTGAAAATGAGAAACCACAACTGCTGCAAAAACAAGAGTCTCAGGTTTAGAAGGACATTTCTTCCTGCTTGCTTTGTTTGTGTACTAGTTTTACAGACAGGGTAAATCCTATCCTATGTTTGTTCCATTTATGTGTGTTTTCTTTTCCCATTCATGCACAAAAGGGACTCTATTTCATCATTCTCCTTCTTTCCTTTTCTTTGATAACTAGAACTCTTAGATTCGTCGTCTGTGAAGTGCATATGTTATATATACTTGAATTGTGTTGTTGAAGGTTTATAATACGATATTTGTGCTTCGGTTAAGCTAAGCTCGCTAAGGTCTCATTTGTTGCATAGGACAAAACATAAGATATTGTATTGTTTCAGTTTGTTTGTGACTGATGTTGATGGGGGCACAATTGCAATTTTTGGCATTAAACCAAAAAAGATGAAACTAGATGGAACATAGACTAGTGATCTTTGGTTTGTGCAAAAAAGAGTTACAATGATAAGCACGAGAGGGATGTATTTATGCCTTTTAAACAAGATTGAATGCTAGTACTTACCATATTCTCCACCATTTTAGTGAGACAAAGGGGACGTCTGTGATTGTTTATTTAAAGTGTTTGTTAGTTTATGTTAGCTTACTACCGTCAATAAGTATTTTTAAATTGGTTTGATGTTTGGTTCGGGGAAGTAATTTTGTTGGAATGGTTGTTACTTGTTAGAACATTGATTGTTGTTGAATAGGCCATGATTATAGTATATTCATCAACTCTTGGGCCCGTGATTTGTAGTGTGGGTATTGGGGAGGTGTTATGTTAAGGGTTTATGAGTCTTGGATGAATCGAAAGTGGATGTGTTTGGGATATGTGAAGTGTTTGCCTGTTTGGATGTTGATTTATTTTTTGAAGTTTGTTAAATGAGAAATAGTTGGTAGTTTAGAAAGATATGATTGGTTGTTGTAAACGTGAATGTGTATAAAATATGTTAATATTTATAGATAAAAATAATTATTTATTTATTAAAAGTATCACATGATCGTTATTCTCTTCTCTTCCTTTATTTACGTATGTAGATATATGAGGCGATGTTTCAAAATTTAATGGCCTAAAAACTCTTACAAAAAGTAGTAAGTTGTTTCAAAATTTAAGTACACATTCCAAAACACTCCAAAAGGTTACAAGACATCCTTTTATTTTCCACTTTGGATAAGACAAAAAAAATCCAATTTTGTCGAATATCATCCATTTTAATACATGTTATATATAGTACAACTTCTTGTCTTGTGTTCTACATAAATTTTGTTGAATACTGTCCTTTTTAATACATGTTAAACATAGTACAACGTGTTGTCTTGTCATATTCTACGTAACAAATAACGCTAACACGTTGTCTTGTCGTTGTCGTGTTGAATGTAAAAAAGAAGGCTCGAAGAAATACAATAAGAACATATGCAGAATTGTTGGCACGAATCAAAAGCAACAACCCACATAACTGAACAACTACAGAGTATAGAGTCGGTTATGTAAATATTATTGATAACATCATCATCAGACTGCAATAATGTAGTTTCCTTAGGGAACAATATGATTTCAAGAAGAAACATGATCAAAAGAACACAAACCCCACATCTCACATATTCTCACTCAATCAAATACACACAAAATAAAACGCTTCACTTCACCCTCTCACCATTCTATTAAAAACAAAGGCATTGACATTGACAGTATCGTCTGCAATCTGGAGAGAAGAGATAGCCTGTGCCGCCATTAAAGCACCCTCTGACACCTCCCCTACACCTTCCCACTCTCTCTCCTCCACAACATGAACATCACCCAGCCCGTACCCGTATCCATACCCGTTCCATTCACATCTGGGCCCTCCATAACCACTCGAAACCCAACCCGTTTCCCCATTCGGACTCCCCCAAACTTGACCCGAGTCATAGCATCCCCATGAAGGATACCATTCCTCATCCTTCTGGCTCTGGTCGGATTCTTCACCGATTAGGACCTGCAAAGCAACCGCCTCGGCTATGGCGGCACACTCTTCATCTAGCCTTTGTTGTTCTTCTCTCTTCTTCTGGTTCTTCTTCTCCAGCTCCGAAATAATGGCGGCTGAAGCTGCCAGGGCTTTTTCCAATCGACGTTTCTTCTTCTCTGCTTGTTTGATTCGATCCAGCTCGTCCTTCACTTGCTTCTTCTTAACTTTTCTAACAACAGATGCTGCTGATTTACCACACTCCATGTCTTAATTCTATATAGAAACAGAAAACTAAAACTTTCTTAATTACTAAAATTTCTTTCTTTCTTTCTAAACACTATAAATCATCACTATCACTATGATCGTTTTTGATCTAGATCTACAAAGTACGAACCCCTGCCACTACACCCACTCAGGTCTAAACGAATACCTCATTTTACGAACGATACATTCCCAAACGGATAGAACTGGACACAGCATAAGAGAATATTGGCTACCGATTAAACCACCCCTCCGCATCATTCTTCTTGATTTCTCACAGTCTTCGTCTTCGTCTCTTGTAGAACAAATCAAACGATCAAGTAATTCAATAACAGATCTTACTCTTGCTCAAATTCACATGGCAAATCCACCTGCACACAAATCAAATCGACGACTTTAAGGATCCGAATTAGGATTATTCTAGATGAGGAAAGATACGATTTACTTTAGAATAAATACTCAAGTAATTTGTAAGCTTCTCGGTGTTCCGATTTCCGTTTAATACGATGAAACTGATTGAGAAAAATCTATCCATTGATTACTGGAATTCACTAAGAAATCAATCGATTATTCCATCTATAAACGAAAAATTAGGGTTGTCACAATTTACTAAAATTCAAATCAATTATTACCGAATACACAAACTGTAATCCAACTACGCAACGAATCAAGCCAAAGATCCGTAAAATCAAAGCAACTACGGAATCAATCTTCCACTCAATAAAACGAACTCCAAAAAAGAAAAACACAACTGAATTAATTATAATCAAGTCATACCGATTGCAAACCTGTAAACCTCAACAGGAAACCGACATGATCTATAATCAAGAGAACAAAGCAAAACTGAATTGAATAAACAAATTCAGATCAAACTCAAACCTTGTGATAAGAAATTGAATTGGGGGGTCGTTATCGTTGGTGGTTGGATCTGATGATGAAACCAAAGCGAGAGAAAGAGGGAAGGAAGAAAGAGCGAGGTAGATGATATAAACACGATCACATGATCGATAGATCGACAAATTGGAAATGAAAAGGGTAAAACGGTAATTGGAGTGCGTGTGTAGATTAGAAAGCAAAACAAGCGTCAAGATCACGTCGTCGAAAAGTAGGCGGTTGGATGGGATTGTAGCCGTTGGATGTATTCAAAGTTAACGGCTGCGATCTCAAACAAATACTGAATCCGTTAAAGTCAACTTCTGCCGTGCTGGGTTAAATTAGTCCAATGGTTTTATATACATTTTTATTTATTGAGAAGTTATGTTGGAAAAAGAAATTACTTTAGCTGATATTTATTTTAACACGTATGTAACCAGAAATTGTCTCCTTCCGTGAAACTAGGGGCGACCAAAACCGCACTGCAACAAAAATTAACCGCATAAACCGCAACCGAAAAACCGCAACCGTAAAAAAAACCGATGGTAAAATTTTCTGTTTTTCAAAAACCGCAAATTTGCGGTGCGGTGCGGTTATTAGTTTTCAAAAACCGCAAAAAAACCGTACCGCACCGCATATATTATATACAATTTTTATATTATCAATTATTAGTTTATTAAATATTAAAAATAAGATAAGTTTCATGAATGAAAAACGGATAAAATAATACAAGACAAAAGTGTTGGTTTTTCTTATGTTTAACTTTGAAAAATGATAAAATTAGACAATTTTAAGATATTTATTGTTAATTACTATTGATTTGACGTTTTTAAGATATTAGTTGTTTGTGGTTTAAGTTAAATAGTTAATTGTCTTATACCTGATGGTTTTTTTTATTATTACAAGTAATATGTTTGAACTCTTAAAACTATTTGAACTCTAAACTGTGGTTAAAAACCAAACAAAATAACCACACCAAATCCATGGGGTTAATAACCGCAACACAGAAAAAACAAAACCACCGCAAAAATAACCGTCTAACCGCACCGCAAAAATAACCGCACATACGGTTTTGAAAATGGATTAACCGCATTTGCGGTTAGTGGTGAGGTTTTGGCTAATAACTGCACCGCGCTCACCCCTACGTGAAACGGGGATTCAAACGGGTCAAAATTGCCTAACTATGAAAGTATAGGGAAGAAACCTACAAATATATAAAACTCATGTGGCAAAAGTGTGAAAACAAAAAAGTGGAGAGACGAACATATCAATACCTTACGAGGGAGTAATCTGCAAAATATGTATTAGGTATAGACTATTTTTGTAAATTTTTTAAACACAAACCTATTCTATGCACAATGAGCTTTTTTAAAACTATTCCAACTTTTTAATGCTTTTTTACTTAGAAGTTTATAAACTTTTAATTTTTTTAATACAACGTTTTAAACTAGTATTTAACGAAAATATTTTAAAATGTTATAAAAAAATATTAAATTGTCATACAAAATCTATGAAACACTTTAAAAATATTGTACTGAAAGTTTAGAAAAAAAATATATGAAAGTTATAGTAAAATTGTATGAAAATGTAAAAAAAACAAGTAAAAAACTTGTAAAAGAATTTTAAAACATGTATAAAATATTTGGTTTAAAAGCACTTGTAGTAAAATTATATGAAACTACAAAAAAAAAAGTTGAAAAAAAAATTATAAGCAAAGTTTAAAACATTGTATAAGAAAAACCTATAAGAAAAAAAAATCATAAAAATCTTGTAAGAAACTATAAAAATTTTAAAAAATTTTGTAAAAAAAATGTGAAAATATCATAAAAATGTTGTAAGAAATTATAAAAAAATTTAAGAAATTTGTAAAAAAAATGTTCACATTTAGACAACTTTCTTTTTTTGTATATATTTGACCATTTAACTTGTTAAATATGTTCACATATTACCATTGTCACGTGCTATAGCAGCTGACAATGGTAATATGTGAACATATTCAACAAATTAAATGGTCAAATGTGTAAAAAAAAATGAAGTTACCTAAACGTGAACAAGACGAAAAGGTAATTACCCTCACAGGTCATTATCCCTTTTTTAAATAAGGGTCAAATATGTCAACATATAAAAATGTTAAATATAGAGACTTTTTTTTGTTAAAAAAAATACCAAATGATGATATATGGTCCATTAGCATGGCCCAGACTGCTCTAGCGTGCCAGCCTAGCCTGGTGCGGCCCTGCCAGCCTTGTCTAGCGTTCTCTTACCAACCTTGCTGGGGACTCCCTTGCCAGCCTCGCTGGGGACTCTCCTGTTGGTTTATATGACTCAGTCCAGTCCAATGCCATTGGTCGCGTACCAATAACACCAGACTGGGGGGACTTGATGATATATGGTCCATTAGCATGGCCTAGACTGCTCCAGCGCGCCAGCCTGGCCTGACGCGCTCCTGCCAGCCTTGCTGGGGACTCCCTTGTCAGCCTTGCTGGGGACTCTCCCGCCGGCCCGGCCTGGCGCTCCCTTGTCAGCCTTGCTAGGGACTCTCCCGTCGGCCCGGCCTGGCGCTCCCTTGCCAGTCTTTCCTGGTGCGCGCCCGCTAGCCCCGCCCGGTGCCTCCGGGCGGCCTTGCCCAGCTCCCTGCTAGTTGGGCCTGAATTGGGCTGGCCCAAAGCCTGCCCTAATTCCCCTTGACCTAATTGTCCACTATAAATAGAATAGTGCCTCCTCCATGAAGGAGGACCTTTCTGGAACCTCTCCTAGACCTTTTCCCTAGGACTCTTCCCCATGGCTCAGCCGCCACTATACTCCGGCCGGGTGGCTCAGCCGCCGTCAGCCACCATACACCACCACCAGCACCAAGATGGTTCTCTCCAGCTATGGAGGACCGTCTCAGATCTATTAGCTGATCTAACTTGATCGTCGAAGTCCGCTCCCGGGGCACAGTCTCTAGGACGGCTCTAACGCATCTCTCTGATTGTGATGTCCAGATCTCCGCCGCAGCAGAAGACCGGAAGACACGCCGGAGGTCGATGTCGCATCACCAAACAATGACCTTTTCTTTAAATTACAAAATTATAAGGCCTAAATCAATATTAAAAATATTTCTCACGAAAATTTAAAATATAAAAACTTTACTATTCATAAGTCATTTATATTTAACATATAGTTTAATAATGTTTACATAATTTATAAATTTGTAGTGAAATAAAAGAAAGATATATAGAATATAGTTGTTAACTCGAGTTCTAAAAAACGGAATTCAATTATCACAAAATAATGGCATGTTGTTTGGGTATTTTTATCGGGTTGTTGGTTTTTTGGGTTGGGTTTTCGGGTAATTATCGACTAAAAGCAATGTTCAAAATAACTTTAGGCATGACTTGATGGCAATATCAAGCCTCAAGCCTTTACGAACAATGTCGTTTGTAAGTCGTGACTTAAGACGACAATTTTGTAAATAATTAATAAATTTATATATTTTTTCTACTATAATTCATTTTTATATACATATTTTACTTAAAACGACATTTTGTTAAAGCATGAGGGTAAGTACAAGCCTTAGAGCCATAAGGAGCTTTTTAGAACCTTGACTATAAATATAAACAATACATCAAGAGAATTAAACTTCGGGTATTTGGGTTACGGGTTAAATCGTGTAAATAAATAGATACTTGAAAATTTTTCCCTAATTATTTAATTCATTAATTACAAATGATTATTTAAATTAAATATTATTTATCATTTTTGTAGCAAGTTGCTTATAAGTAAGTACCATGTATATGTAAATATGTAATTTTAACACAGTAGGTCTATGCAAGTAATATTGAGAATTTGTGTGTAACGCTCGATTCAGGTGCACATTTTATTATTTTGATGAAGTTAAATTTCAATTCAGACCCCTCTCACGACGTGGATTTCTTGTCGCGTATCTTTCGTTAGCGGAATTTTCGTATAACAATAGCTATCACGCCAGCATTGATCGACCTCCTTTTGAGATGCTCTGCGGGAGGAAATACAAGACCCTGATTTGCTGGGGTGAGGTTGGTCAGCGGGTTATGGGGAGTACCGAAGTGGTACTCAAGACCACTGATCTAATTCAGCAGGTTCGGAGCAGGCTCCAGACGGCTCAGAGT